GGGGGGGGTAGGAATATGAACGAACCAATCTTCAAAAGTTCAAACGCTGGAAGGAGGGGGAGGGGGGAAGTTGAAGCTTCAAATTGATAAGGCATATCATGCACGGTTAATCAGCCAAGAAAAGAGGTTTATACAAAGAAATCGCAAGTGGAGCCTTGGAAAATTCCTTTTTTTGGTTCGCCGAGTCGCAAAGATTGAAAGAGAGGAAATACTCTCTGTTTTCGAATGGTACTAATACACGAGAAGAATTCGGCGAGAACAACTACGAAATGGTCACTTTTTATCAGAGGGTCATTCACTTCAATCCCCCTTTCCAGTCTTCGTTAAGGAAATGACAGGACTCGTGAGTGCGCAGCCATGCATGTTCAGCAAACGCTGTTCAGCCGCAAAGACAACAAGCAAAAAGACCAGAAGTCTGAACTTCCCTTTCGCTTTCGAATATGTCTTGATTCATTTTCGATGCACTTGAAATTTACGGGTCCCGATTAAATTTTAAGCGTGGGATCCATATTCACATTCCATTAAATAATGATCATAAATCATAAAAATCCTCAAATTTATAAAATCTTACCGCTGTAACAAGCCCAATCTCCGGCATGATAACCCTTTGCGGCATGACTCCATCCGTTTAAGATTTTGTCGCAAAAACTGGTTACTTTTTTACCACTCTTCTCGTAAGCTGAAAACGCGAAATACACTACTCCGTTTATATTCACTTCAAAGCCTTGATTGTAGATCAATGTCCAAAAGCCGACATTTCCTTCGGAATCAACTGCGACATCAGGAAACAACAAAGTCACTTGAAGCTCAGAGACAGGTTTGAACGAGGAGCAGTCGATGGTGTTGTCGTGGCCTCCTTCTCCGATCGAAAAAAGCCATGATCCACTTATCTCTTCATAGGTACAGTTAGCAGGAGTGTCAGCATCTACGTAAATGCAGGGAAAGAGCAAAGCGAGGAAAACTGACAGTGCAAAGTGAGATGCCATAGTGCGGTTTCCGACTGATGAACTTGTCACGAAAAAGTCACGAGACACCTTGCTGAAGAATTAGCCTCGTTGTCGCGTTGAGGCTACACCCCAAGTTTGATTCCCCTCAAGAGCCAGCCAAGAAAGCCAGGACCTCACTCTAAAGAGTTCCTTTTTCGTAAGAATCTTTAACATACGGAACGCCTTACCAGATGTTATAAGAGCTAAAAAGGAACCACTGTCTTTCGTCAAACAACTAAAATCTTTCTTTTATCTAAGACTTGGCAAAGTTTTCAATCGAGACATCCGTTCTTTTAAAATAGTTTGCGTAAAATGTCGCTTCAATGCTCTTAATTCTTGTGCATGTTAATCAACTAGTTTTCTTCTTTTCCCCTTTCGTTGATGATTATATATTTTGTTATTTCTTAGCATGGGGGCTTGTAAGTGGATTGGGTCTCAATTTTGTCTGTTTGTAGGGCATAGGGAAAGGTAATTTACCTAGTAGGAGACAACCTTGTCTTACAGTAAATTTACCTGCCTTTAGAAAATTGTCAAATAAAAAATAAAATAAAACTTCACTGGCGGGTAGCAAGAGGGTCTTAAATAGTGGGAGGGGAAATTTACAGGGGGTAGAGGGATTGAACAGAGGGGAGGGGCTGAGCGGTAGGAGGGGTAAAGATATCGTTTCTCGTTAAACAAAGACACCATCTCACCTTAAATGTAAAGTAACACCGCCACCTTTTAAAAATACCAGCACAGCCGGAATGCCGCTAGTTTCCCATCCCAAACCCCTTGGACTTCGCTGTTCGAAGGGAAGTATCTTTCAGAACTTTTCAATTATCTTGCGACTGAACTTCAGTAAATGTTACAGCTCTCCCTAGAACTCTAGAAATATCTCACGTTTATACAAATACATACACGCATAAAATTTATTTTTT